AAATCTGTTTTTCTGTTAACCAGCTGTCACCCGCCTACTAACAACTCTCAAAAGTATAAACTTGTGCGAGCTTAGAACTAAGCCCGGCCGTACACGGACCACATATTTCGGTTGAAGCAACCACAACATTGTGGCCACGTTGACTGCACTTCGCGGGTGAACCAACCGCACTTGCAGTTGAGGCAACTGACATCAAAAATTGAATGTTGTGAGACCAATATGCGGTTGGGTACGACTGCAAGTTTGTGGTTAGTGTACGGCGGATGTCGCCATGACAACTCGGCGGAGATAAGCAGCAAGTTGACTGCAGAAGCCCGTTTTGACTTTTGTGAACGCCCGTGTACGTGTAGTACAGTATTTCTTATAGGCGGCTTGAGTTCGCTGGAACGCGACTGCAATTGTGTGGTCGATCAGACCGCAAAATGTGGCCCGTGTACGGGCGCTCTAACGAGGTCTTACCTTATGACAGGTTATCTGTAACTGAGTAACACATTTATTCAGTTATAAAGTTGAAAACCACCTCTCGAAGATGATCACTTGGTGAGTGAAACACGCGTCTATACCAACACCAAAAAAACGATTTGGTGTTGGTATAGAACTCCAGTAATATTCATTACTACACCACAGGTTTCAAACAGTGCATCACAAGTTATAAAGTTCTTAAAAAGGAAGTGTGTTAGTTATAAAGAACCACACTTTTCTAATGTTCACTAATATTTTCAATTGATCCCAACTAAAGCATTTTCCTCTCATAAATACACACAGACACATATATGATGGAAATGGCCGATACTTGATTAAAATCCATAACTAACGTATTTAAAAAACACTATTGTGAGATTTTCACTAAACGATTTTACAAAAACGCAACACGTGTTTCGCCATACAATGGCTTCTTCTGGCGTGTCTTTACACGTGTTGCGTGTCTTTACGCCCTAAGAAGCCATTGTATGGCGAAACACGTGTTGCGTGTCTTTACGCCCGAAAAAGCCATTGTAGGGTGAAAGTAGATGAACAACGTATGTTCTGGCTCACCGGGAGTGGGGGTAACCTATCAGCGTCATCGAAATCGACGCAGGATGGAACGAGTATAGTAGCGATTTAAGCGTGGAACTCCGCCCCTCGGCCCCCTTGGTACTTCACCTAACCTATCGGCCCCCTTGGTACTCCACCTCACCCATCGGCCCCCTTGGGATTCCGCATCAGCGCTCAGACCTCCTTGTCACGTGATTTTAATTAAAAAAAGTTTATAGTTATGAGATTCGAACCTGGGTCGTCCGCGCCGTAGACATTGTCCTTAGCCTCTACACCATCGTAAGATATTGAAGTTAACTGCGAATGTTGGGTATTTATAGCGTTAGTTTTGTCGGGANCATTGAATTATACAGAAGATACTACTCTACTCAGTTTGTATTCCAAACGTCGCATTAAAAAATGGGATGAAACAGATTAGGAAAAACATGCTGTTTCAGGAAGACTTTTTTCCAGTTTTTGTCTGAAAGTTACTTCTTTGCATGATCTACTTATCTATACTTATGTATAGAGTTACTTTGAAATTGATTACTTCCTTCCTTTCTTTGGAAGATTCCCACATTTTTTTGTGACAAGATGGTAGAAAGCCAAAAACTTTCTTTCCCAAGAAAATCACTTCTTTCTATTATGTCTGTACTATTAACATTCATTTATATAGTTCATTTATATAGTATCAATTTAAAATGGCCCTTACGAGTACACTTTCATTCTTATATGTGTACTTGGAAGTTTCAGAACAAGACACTTGTCCTATCCAAAACGGAGCTGATGAAATAATAAAACTAGTTGTCTTGTCCCGAAATTTCGAAGTACACCTTTGAGGATGAAAGTGTTTCATGTGTGACATTTCATATTAGTACTCTTTCATATATCACATTATTATGAATTATATCTAATTTCAATTCCATAATGATTTTTTGTAGTACGGACTGAATGAGAAAAAGTTATTTTCGTGTGATTCGATGTTCACAGAGAAGTAATTTTGACAGATTTACATTTGACGCACATGGGGGTAGTTAAGATGAAAAGTTTAACACATTCTTATTTTTGGTGGCCTGATTTGGGAAAACAAATACTTATTGGAAATTTGTAGACAGTGCTCAAATTGTCTTACAAATAAAATGTGTACTGGAGCGGAAGAAAACTCTGTAAAAATCGTCAAGAATGTGTTGAAAAATGCATTGCAAAAAGATATTTGTTTAAATTTTTATATAGTTTTCTCTGAAAAACCACTCAGAAACTTCTTCAGTATGGACTAGTTAGAAAATCAAATTAACACATACGAATATTAAGTGTAAAAACCTGAACATGGTTAGGAGAGCACTAAAGTGCTAACCAATTGAGTTTTGACCTTCGCTGATTAATTTTTCCATAAGGCACCTTGTAGTGTTTATCAGAGTTTTATTTACATTTACTCAGGCAATCGTGATTAATCAATATGGTATATACTTCAATATTTGGTCTGCTTATCTTTTGTGAAGCAACAACAATTTATGTATCTGAAAACAAAACCCTTCAATTTTCTTCTTATCATCACGATCTACACGATTTCTCACTTCTCTAAATTTATATAATGACCTAATTGTTAACTTTTTTTAAAATATGTAAGACTGACAGAAAAGTGAAAAATATTGCATGACAATCAGATTCAGAGAGATATTAAATATATTTATATTCAGAACTAGATGGAGAAGAGGAAAAGGCGAGATAAAAAACAATCATTGATTAGTTCATTCATGGACCATTTTATCANAAGGTCATTTTTGATGATGCCTACTTTCTTTTCGAGACCTTCCTTTGTATTACAGAGCCCGAAAACCCGGTCTAGTAGAGTCTTGATGATTCCTCTCTTAGTCGATTGATTGTGGTTGGATTACTGGTTCAGATACAGTCCTATGTGAGTGGGTTTTCGATATACAGATGTTTCCCATTTAATGTCGGTTCTCTTCACCAATACGTCCATGAATGGCAATTCGTTGTGTCTAGTTCTGCATTCCCATTTCCATATTATGAAGGTGTCATCCACGTATCTCAACCAGTCTCGGGGCTTCTTGTGGGCTTCTTCAATGGCCAGAGTTTCAAACCACTCCATATATATAAGCTATAACCGGTGAAAGTCATCATGCGTAAAGAATTTGTCCTTCAGTTGGAAGTAGTACTTTCGAACACAGCATCCTAGTAACTCCATGATTACTTGTATCGGTAAGTTTGGTCCCCATCTTGTTTTTTTGTTTGTTATTTGTATATTTCATTGTAATTTCAGTTTTTTTTGGAAATATTGAATCATTGGTTGGCTAATTGGGTTTACCGTCTTGTTAACTCTTGAGAAATAACATTATCTTCCTTTTATTTCTCATCGAAATCTACCTAATCTTGGCCCTATCAAAGTCACTAATTTAGAAAAAATCAAAAAATAGACCATATCAAATATTCAGACATCATAAAGAGACATTTGAAATGGAATTATCAAATTAATAATCCAATAAAAAATTACGACCTCTATCTATCGTCAAAAGTTAAATTTTAACAAAACATTTCAAGCAGAAAATATGGAGATAATTTTTTTGTCAAATCACAATTGAACTGTTACAAAAGTGGTTTCCAAAAATCGTTTACAATAAGAACATTTGATATTCTTCCAATAAATTATTTGAAGAATGTAACAAAATGGATATTAGACAATTATTTTGTTTTAATATAATTACTTTCATATTTTCTCATTATACAACACACACACCACATTGGTCGAGGACGAAACGGACTGGTTTAAGTTTGACGATAGTCGTGTCACTAAGTGTTCTGGCGATATCTTCAATTTATTGGAGCCTCTGGAGACACCCTACATTTTGTTTTATGAAAGAGAGGACATTGGCAGATCAAGATCTTCAGATGATGTGGTGCTGCAGGTTTTTCCGGGTTTTCCTGCAGCTGAAAACGCAAATGCGCTACTGGAATCAATGAAGTCGCCCCGGAGGGCCAATTTTTCATTATTAGTATTACTTTCTTCTCTAATATATTTGATATAGTATTTCCTCATAAATATTGCATCAAATATAGTGAACATATCTATAATACACGAAATGAAAATTAAATCACCAGAAAAAGTAAAATATTCAAAGTAAAATCAAGAAAAAACTTATTAAACATATCATTCATTTACGACAAATAACCAAATCTAATTATTGTTGCGAGATTACGACCTATGGCAAGGATTTATCGTTAGTTTAGCAATGATGCGACGACGAAATGTCACTATGTCCAACACGAGGCGTACGGGGCGAGACAAACTTTCTCCGGCGCCTCCACCAAATTTGGTGCAAATTTGGGTTTTACTCAGGGGTAGCCAGGTCTTACTAACAACTGTCTTAGTGTTAACATTATCAAAATTGTCAAGTCGAAGAATCAGCTACCGCGGTTCCTTCTCGCTCCGTATGCTTCGTCTATTGGTCATAGCACCATATAGAAGTAAACGTCAAATAACGTCACATGTAGTTTATGAAATTCCCTGCAACAATTGTGATAAGATATATATCTTGGTCAAACAAAAAACAATTTAAAAACCCGCATAGCTCTTCATAAAAGTAATTGTAAAAATTTAAAACGAAATTCTTGTGCACTCACACAACATGTTCTAGATAATGATCATTCAGCCAATTATACTAACACCAAAATTCTCCATTTCGAACCAGATTCAAATAAAAGGCAATTTCTGGAAATGGCTGAGATCAAAATTAAAGAAAACAATATCAACAAAAAGACAGACATCGACAACCTCAGCAAAATTTATTCATTTTTACTAACAAAAAATATAAATCTGAATACATCCTGTAATATTAACACAGTATAAATCCCCATAATGAACGATAATAAAAATTTGAAAAAGTATTTCACATTATTCAATGNGATAGAACAGGTAAGGAAATGTGAGAGGTGTAATTTTCAGAAAAATCATGCTTTGCGTTTTCCAGAAACGTCTAACCTACCATCGCCCGTGTGTCACGCTGTATACCAATGAAAACCTTCTCTTGAAATTTCCATTTATTGGTCAAATTGATTTTCTTAATTCACTGTAAACAAAACAAGTAGAACTTGTACATCAAAAGATTGTGAGTACGTTTATGCTAGAAAATGTCAAACTTTATTATGGTGTTGATACATTTTATTGACATTAGTGTTGCCAGTTCCCGAAATATAAATAGCCTCCGTCGTAGACTAACAGTTAATCCACATTTAGATTACCAGTTGATCTATATGTTATCGTTTGCAAAAACCTATTCGAAATTAAAATAATCACACCAGATTTCTTAGAAAAAATGTGACTTGTATACAATGTTTTTATTTGGATCTAATTCCACATGGGACTTTTACTAAATATGTTTGAAATCTAGGAGAAGAATTTTGTGAACTCGTTATTGAAGTATGGGATCATTATTTATGATATTTTCAGATATTGGTGGCTGCGGATAATGTGTCTTGCAAAACAGAAAGAGTGGACAGAACTTGAAAAATTCTCGAAAATAAAAAAATCTCCTATAGGATATGCCCCCTTTGTTGATGTTTGTCTTCAGAATGATAACCGCCAAGAAGCTCTTAAATATCTACCCAAAGTTACTGAAGATATTAAAGTGAAATATTGTATAAAAACGGGGTAAGTTATTACTGTAGCATTGTCAAATCTGAATATGAGTTGTACGTACCAAAAAACGTTCTGAAAAGTAAATATACATATCGCACCCTTAGAATGAAAGTGACTTAACTCAAAATTCCTGTAATACTCGATTTTACCATAAACTGACCTTATAAAGCAAACTCTATAAATCGGCAGTTTCTTTGTATGGCATGGGCGGCGAGGCATAATTCTATTCAAAATTTATTTCATTTTTCATATACCTACATGGATTTTTTTTCATCAATAGTAAATAGTAATGCCAAAAAACCGTTTGTTTTTACATGAGAATGAAATAAAAACTCAAGATTCATATCTTAATTTTCAGAGCCTGAATCTGAATTTTGGGTCATAATAATTGAGTCAATGGAAGGTGAAATGTAATGTTCATTCTCTTTTTCTATGACATGCTGGACACATTTCATCCATTCACCACTGTCGTTTACTTCATTAATAACCGTTTGTATATTTCCTAGTACGGAATCACTATCTGTCGGAGATTGATTATATTTTTTCAGTTTTTTTTACAGCAGCACAAATCATCTCGATCGGATTGAATTCACAGTAATAGGGGGGAAGATGTAGAATGGTATGACCACAGGCTTGGTATATCTTATTATTACAGATTCTTCAATTAAGTTTTTTTAATAGCTTCCAACGACACTTTTTTGTAGCCTTTTTTGGAATTTCCATATTTTCACTTTCCATGAATTTAAGAATGTCTTCTTTCTTTGTACTACTAGTGAGAATTTTGACGGGAATGATAAGCAACATGGTCCATAACAGAATTTGGGGAAAGATTTGGCAGCAGTTGTTAAATTAACCACTTTTCAAAAAGACTGGCAGTCATATCTTCATGGTAGTCAGCAGATGATGGTTTTATATTTTTAGCTGACAATAGAAGAGCATTAGGAACAAAACCCTTATTACTGCCTGCGCGTAGAATGATAACCCATTTACCGCGAGAACAAGGTCTATTAAGAGAGTACTTATTACCGTCATCCACCCAACCATATTTAAAAACATCATGTGTGTCGAACCAAGTTTCATCAAGGTACACTATCTCTTTTTTTGATTGGCGGCATTTCTTAATTTTTTGTAAATACTGCTGCCATCATGCTACGATGTGAGATGAGTCCCTTATGACCATTCTTTTATTTATTTTTCTGTACTTGAAGCCAGAATTTAGCAAAATATTACGCAGTGTGTCCAAAGATTTGTATTCATGATTGGGATAAGCCCATAAGTCGATACGAACCATTTCTAGAGTTGGAATCTAGTTTTCTTTGTAAAACATACGATTCCGCTTTCTGCTAACTTAGGTTTGTTAGGGGTTGAAATGGACACCAATATGTCTTGGCACAATCATGTCGCTGGAAATGCAAAGGCTGCTTCTCGAAAACTTGGAACACTGTTCTGAACCAGAAAACTGTACACATCTCAGCAACTTTTGATGCTCTATGAGGCTCAGATCAGGCCTTCTTTGGAGTATTGTTATCATGTATGGAGCTTCGCCCCTAAGCATACCCTGAAACTGCTGGATTCCATCCAGAAAAGAGCCATCTTACTGATTGGAGACGTGAACATCGAAGAAAGGTTGAAAATTTGTCTCTCTTTTATAGATAATTTCACGGGAAGTGTTCAAGTGACTTGGCACATTTGATTCCACCAAGAGCGGTATATATCAGAAATACGCGACGGACTGTGGCTGCTCATCGTTTTGAGGTTCAAAATATTTCTAATTTTTCAGATGACTATCAGAAATTATCCAGTAGCTCAGTCTCTATATATAAAATACTGTAAAGAACATAACACACAAGCCTTGAACGAAATTTATATTCAGGAAGATGATTTTTGTGCACAGGCTGAAACATTCCTTCTAGAAAGTTTAGATGATAAGGTAAATCAAAGATTCATTTTCTCGCAATGACTGAAGGTTGGTGAGTGTCAAGAATGTGCTAGTTTGTCTCTCTGAATGTTTTTAATTCAGTCGACACCGCTTGTAATGGTAAAGGTTTTAATTAATAATAAAAACCCCATTTAATAGTAGAATAATTGATAATTTTTATTTAAATGCCGAAATTTGTTTCAAAGAACTCGGTTGATTGAATAGAACTGGCCGATGTTTGATGAAAATACACATTAAAACAAATTATACAGTTTATTGCATGATTTTCACTATAAAGGGTTTTACAAAAACCGCGACACGTGTTTCGCTATACTATAGCTTCCTCAAGCGTAAACTTTTTTTTAATGAATTATCTAATCAATAGCGATACATTATCGCATCAACACTGGAAATAACATGTACTCCTATTCACCTTCAACAAATACATGTAATTTCACATAAATTGAAAATAAGAACTCTTACACTACAGAGTTTTTTTTGAATACCATTTATTTTTAGTTTGACAGGTACTTGTGTCTGTGCATAAAAATAGTTTTTTCATTTTCAGAATAAATCCTTCAATAGTATTAGGAAAAAATTTTACAGTGCTCCAACACCACAATCTTTTCTTTCATAAAATCAAAAATATTTGTAAAAATGATATAGTTATAACAAACTTTAAAAAATTAGTATAGTTATTAGTAACATCTTCTTTTACGATGTTCACGGACACTTGTTTGTATAGAAGTTCTCACAGAAACCTACCAACTCATCTTTCAAATTCCATTCAAATTACTTATAGTAGATTGAAGATGACATCGTTTGTGTTTTTCTTGTTCTGAAAACTAAATTGTGTATTGCTGATAATTTTACGTTTGGTAAGGAAATTAAGATTCTCACTTTCACCAATTTTTCAAATTTGTTTAACAATCGCATGTATTAGTGCAATTGGACGATGATTAGAGGAGTTTTTAGGGACACCTTCTTCATGTAATGGGACCATAACTGAAGGTTTCACTTGTTCGAGAAATATTCCAGAACTGAATTATTGGTTTATCAGGCGTGCGAGTAATTTTTGTGCTCATCAGGTATATTTTCCATAATACTGCAAAAGATTTCATTGATCCTAGTTTGTCAGGAATTCTAGTGAAATCATCAATTGTTACAGAGAGACCGTATGAGCTTGCCAAATATAAGAAATTACCCAAAAATTAACAGTTTTCTTGGTAACTAATATCAAAATCACCTAGTTACCTTCTGGTCATCATTGAGATTTTTTTTAAAGGTGGCTTCTATATTATTAGGAATATTTTGAAATTTCTTTCGGAACTCGATTAGTGTGTTATAATGAGTAATTTTAAATAATTAAGAAAAACTCCACAAAATTCCGCATTGAACTCGTCACAAATGCTTTAAAGATTTGTAACCTATTTTGTTATTTGGAAAAATTGCAGTACCTCCATGATCTCTCTGAGCCACATAGAAGTAATCAACCAGTCGGTAAACAGTGCCCAGAGACACATAGTTCCAAACCAATTGTCATTCAAGAAATATTCAATTTTTTTCTAATTTATTAGATGAACATTGACTTTTGATTTGAAATATACTCACTGAATCATGACAATTGATCAAGTATGGTAAGCACAGTTCCTTCAAGGGAGTAGTTTCTATTTGCATTGTCCCAGATTGTTCATTGCTGTCTTCAAAGATGAAACAATCTCTTCTGAAGTCAAACCCCCTTGTAACATAGGCCTCTTGGCCAGAAGGAGGTTTTGCGGAGTAGTTCTTCTATGAACTCGAAATCGACACAAGCATGAATGATGTCAACAAACAAAAATCTATATTTTGTTGTAAAAATATTGATACATTTTTATAATCAAATAGTCACTACTTGATTAACCATAGCATCATATTCAAATGAATTATATTTTATGGATGGAGATAAGCTGCACTATTAATCCAAAATATATGCTCGGTAGTTACATAGGACAGATACAGTATGAAATGTGGAAGTTATTGTATAGTGAAACACATGTTGCGGTTTTGTAAACTGTTCAGTGACAATTTCACAATGAAGTGTTACTTTAATACTTACAGTTCAATAAAGACAAAGACAGCAAAATTTCTGTTGTCGAAACTGAATAGCTAGTGAAAATTTTGACTAGTTTTGCAAACTTTTCTCAACAACTTCATTCATTGAGGTCGCCAAGTCTACGGTGAAAGATCACAACGATTAAAATCGAAATAAGAGCATTACAGAACAGGAGTATATTTTTAAATCTTGGGCACTGTTTTTTTTTTAAATAGAAGAGAAATAGACGTCGGTCAGTTATAAGCTAAAGTAGCTTGGGACTGGATTAGTTTTATTTACTTGGTACTCATAATATGTATTTTATCATTGTGTTACTATTATACTCTTTTTGCGATATAGTCAAGTAATGATTTATTAAGAAATATATGGTTATTAGATTTTTGAATACCTTCCTTATATTCTAGCAGATTATTCATCGATATTTATAGATTTTTATCCTTTTGAAGTTCATTTTGCTTTATATTGAAATGGAGAAGTAAAAGCCAATACAATTATTTTATACCTTATTATATGATGTAAATGTAGAATGTCTGACGATAATGTATTTTAATATAAAAGTCAAATTTTTTGAAGTTTAGCCGAGTATGTTCTTCCTTAGAAAGCCCACATGAAGGATTCTCTTGTAACATCAGCTTTGGATGCTTATAAAAAAGGCAGAAAAGATGTCTGTACATCTCTTTGTGATGAGTATGTTAAGTTGATGCGCTTCCAAAGAGATCTAGAAGAAAAAATCCCTGGCACCAAAAATAAGTTTGTAGGAAAGTCTGTACACGATACTTGTCAACTTTTATTAGAAATGAATGAGTTGAAGTTAGCCGAAAAATTCAAGAATGATTTCAAGATTCCTGACAAACGGTAAGTAGTTTTATTAATAATATTTTCTAACCATATTATAAAATAATTTCAATTATTTTTTATTTCCTTTCTATTTCTTAATTTGATGATCAAGAGTGCCCTCTGTTGTGTCAATGTTGGTGAATAATTTGTGTGATTCATATCTTCACTGAAACATTAAAAAAAATAATCAGTATGTTTCTGTATCCTAATGTATAATTTTTCTTTCCATTTTCCAAAAAAGTTTCGTGAAGAGTCTTTTTTCTCTCATCAATAACCTGGCGCACTCAAGATATTGAGCTAAGAGACATTTATTAGATTGTTAGTCACATTTGAATACATATTTAAATCTTTCAACTATACATTGTTATATTTTCCAAGGAAATTTGTAACTAATGACCATTCTGAATTATTTATCATATAAACTTTCAAGAGAATGCATTGGAGTTTCTTCAGAATTGTTCTATGATTTATTGGAGACAATCTTTGATTATTACAGATACATATACGAGGGGTACTATTTATATTTGGGGAATAGTGAATAATAACAAACATTTCTTAAGAAAATGACTTTATTGTTTTTCGAAATATTCCCATTGATGATCAATACACTTTTGTATTCGTTCAAATCATTTGTCATCTCCAAAACATGATTTTTGAACGCTTCAACTTCTTCTTCGGTGCTTGTAAATCGTTCACCACGAAATTTACCTTTTATATTTGGGAACAAGAAGAAGTCATTGGGTGCCAAAACAGGATTGTACGGATGATGAGTCATCAATTCAATGTTTTGACTGCTCAAAAATTCCCCTGTTTGATGAGATGTGTGAGAGCTTGCATAATCATGGAGGAAAATCATTAGTCTTCTGCGTTTTGTTTTACGAATTGACCGTTCTACGTTGATCAAGCGGAACAGAGGTCATTTGACCCATTCGGCCGAAGAAACGGGCGACCATTTGCTTAGCTGCGCTTCTTCCACGAACAGCTTTTGTGGGATGTAGCTCGGCTTGGAATACCCACATGGTCTATTGTTGTTTTGTTTCC